CACGTTAATACCACCAGTCCCAACTCATCACCGTCATGGAGCATGCAGTCATTTATCAATTCGACACATTCTAAGGGGGAGATCCTGCTTTCATTTTACTTTTTCTCTGCTTATGTGCTAGTAAAGGTGAGAATTTGAGAACATGTATGTAACAGTAGCAGACTCCGTCACCCTATGTTCGGTTGTCCGTACCCCCTTGTTCGTCTCTCGGTGTGTGGTCCCTTGTTTTGCCCCAGTGAAAACTGACCAACCATGGCTGTTAAACCACAAATTAAAGGAACGCTATAGTCACCTAAATTACTTTAGCTAAATAAAGCAGTTTTAGTGTATAGATCATTCCCCTGCAATTTCACTGCTCAATTCACTGTCATTTAGGAGTTAAATCACTTTGTTTCTGTTTATGCAGCCCTAGCCACACCTCCCCTGGCTATGATTGACAGAGCCTGCATGAAGAAAAAAAATTGGTTTCACTTTCAAACAGATGTAATTTACCTTAAATAATTGTATCTCAATCTCTAAATTGAACTTTAATCACATACAGGAGGCTCTTGCAGGGTCTAGCAAGCTATTAACATAGCAGGTGATAAGAAAATCTTAATTAAACAGAACTTGCAATAAAGAAAGCCTAAATAGGGCTCTCTTTACAGGAAGTGTTTATGGAAGGCTGTGCAAGTCACATGCAGGGAGGTGTGACTAGGGTTCATAAACAAAGGGATTTAACTCCTAAATGGCAGAGGATTGAGCAGTGAGGTTGCAGGGGCATGTTCTATACACCAAAACTGCTTCATTAAGCTAAAGTTGTTCAGGTGACTATAGTGTCCCTTTAATGACTTGACACCTTCTCTTGAGTGCTTTCCCTTGGTGTCCGCCATTTGTATAACCGAATGCACGTGGTCCAGTGCATGGCGGCCATTTTGCCTCCCGAACGCAGGCATCGCTACTTGGTCGAACTGGAACCTTATTCGGCCTCGCGTCTCCTCGAACCCGTCCAACTTCCCAACCATCTAGACGAACGATATTTGGTAGATATGATCTACTGAACAGGGGGAGCGTTCGTCACTGTTCGCACAGGAACCCCCTGTAGCGGAGTAGCAGGGGTTAATCCAATAGCTCTCCGCTGGGAACAAAGATTCAGCATACAAAATCACAGGAACACAGCATAATCCATCTCCCCAAGGACTAGACTACACAGTCTGGGAGTCAACTGTCAGCTTTATTCACAGGTCTGCTTTTATGCATTTCTCCCATGCAAGGGAGGTAACTTTCATAATTAGTACAGTAGCCAATCATAACATGGTCACCTCCCATCCCTCTCCTCCCCTTAGATTAACACTTAAACAGATTAATGGGGACAGAGTTTTCCCCACTTTATAGATGTCCCCTAAATACAGGGGGTACAGGGTTGAATAATGGGTCCCCTGGTAGGTCTAATCTGGGTGAGCAACATACTCAAAATTCACCCAGACCGGACCAGGGGTTCGGGAGTTACAGGCATTGAAAGATTTGACCGACCGCAGGGGCTCAGTAGCCGAAAACAGTTCCATGAATTCTGGCCCTGCGGTCGGTCTTTTCTAGTGAACGCAAAGTCCCAAACGGCTTAGGCATCCAGGCAACTGTTACCATTCGTAAGAATCCCCTCGTTTGGGGGATTCCATCTACCGAACGCCGGGGCGTTCGTGTGTTTGGTTCGTGCTTTCTGAGCATGCTGGAGGTCTTAGCGGTACTTGGTTAGTCGAATGCCCGGTTTGAGTTCCAGGCGTTCGACGACCAAGTACCGCTGTTCGTGCGTAAGATGGCCGCCGCCACGTGTTCGGTAGGCGAAATGGCGGCCACACATACAGGTACTTAATTCCCTTCGCAACATTGAAGCTTTCAGTTAATTGGAAACACACGACCACCCCGGGGTGATCTCCCGTTCGGTAGTTTCGGGGCATTCGCATACAGAAGAGTAAGAATAGCATTAGAGTCCGTTCGTGCATTTAGTCACTGCTTTAGCACCCATTCGCATGTAATGATTCCACTGTTTATTCGCATAAAATAGTCAAAGTGGCAGGGTTTGCCACACCCCTGAAAGCCGACCGGCCATCCTGCCCAATTCTCTGGAACTGTTTTGGGCTATCACCTCGTGGCCTGTCCGTCAAAACTTTGTTTGAACGTAAGTTTTGTTTTACCAAACCAATCAGAGCGCTTTGTGGATATGTTGTGCACTCAGAACGGGGCTATTTGGGAATATGATTTTTGTAGGGTTCCTGTACTGTTTTCATGTATTATTTTGGATATGTTAAAATTTTATGTTAATTAATTAAGTGATCCTAATTTGAGCTCCATTATCTCTCAAACACAAAGGCTCTTGGGAAAGAAACCCTTGTGTTTTTGACTTGAAAACCCCATGCTAGGGGCAATGCATAAAAGCCGTGTGTGGCAAAATAAAGTCAGTTGTATCCCCAGAACTGTGTCTCGTCCAGTTGCTGGGGAGGAGGTGGGCTATTTACTTGGCATTTTCTTGTTCCTGATTCGACTCTTGGTGATCCAGCGGAGATAAGTCCCTGCCAGGACTAAGGGCTCTGCTACAGTAACAGTCATAGAACCGTGTTCATTTGTTCAGTGTCTGTGTGAATGCATGTATTTGCGTGTACCGTGTCCATGTGAACGCATGTATTTGTGCGGGCAGTGCCGTGTGAACGCATGTATTGTGTGCAAAGTGTCCGTGAACGCATGTATTTGTGTGTAGTGTCCGTGTGAACGCATGTATTTCTGCGGGCAGTGCTGTGTGAGCAAATGTATTGTATGCACAGTGTCCGTGTGAACACATGTATTTGTGTGTAGTGTCCGTGTGCATTTTAAAACACAGCAAACTTGGAGAATTTTTCTATTTAGTCTGTGGCAAACCTAGCCACTTATAGAACTAAACTGTGTATTTAACCGAACTATATATTTCTGCTGCTGTTAACTGTATTGTGCAATGTATGCGGCATTCGTGTGTAACAGCACACGAATGCCGCTAATGTTAAGTCTGGTTATCCACGAACAGTGAATCACCGCACTGTTCGTGGAATAAGCAAAGTACCGAATTTGGAGACCACCCATAGCAGGTCGTGTGTCTCCAATTAGGTACTTTGCAACAATGTATCGGTGTTAATTGCGGTCTGTTGCGGGTGGCCGCCATTCATGTACCGAACACGAGGCGGCAGCCATCTTTGTTCGCGGAAAGCCAGCGGGGTTTTGTTGTCGAGTGCCTGGAACTAAAATCGGCTACTCGGCAACACAAGCCCCGCTGGACTTCAGAGCTGTTTGGGAGTTTTCCGTTTTCGGGACTTTTATTCCCTCAGTTCAGACAATCGGTTAAACTAAGTGGTCCTGATAAGGGAAAATGAACCGCGTTCGGTTATTTGCGCTGGGATCGGGGCGCAAGTTCACTTAACTGTGCGCCCAGGTCCCAGCTATGTAATAAAGGGTTAAATAGCTGTCTAGCATAAATATTATGTCGGTTATAGATTTTAATATAAAAACGGTATTTTGCTGTTCCAAGGGATAATCCCATTAGCAATGCATTCTGGGATAATTATCTCCTTGGTACAGCAGTGTATGCTGGGTACTCTGGCTGTAAAACTCAGTCCCCCATGTAGTCCCCTACTGGACAAACCCTGCATTGTGACTCGGTAAACCCCATACAATTGTAACCACATAAATACTGTGCCTGTGATTAAAAACCTCAGTTTACCTCCAAGCTATGTGTCGTCTAGTTCTTGGGAGAAAGGGATTGTAACTACGCTATCTGGATTTTACCTGCATTTTGCCTGCTTTGTACCTGTTTTATTCTGTCTACCAGCGGAGATACCGTGGATAATACTACTACTCCGCTACATAGTCTAAAATGTGAAATTCATTTTTAAGTACATAACCCTGAGTCAATAGGATGACATTCACTAAAAGCCAACAACCTTACATAGTGTTGAACCCATTATGCATGTCAGATATTTGACTAAAAAGACCATTATTCTGAAAGTATTAAAAAAAAAATAGCTTTATTGTCAAAAATAGCTAGTAAGGATGCAAACAGATTGTGATCAATAATCAGACTTAAACTTGTCAGCCAGAACGTGGTCCAGAGCTGGATGGCCATAGCATGGTCCAGAGCTTGGATGGCCATAGCATGGGCCAGAGCTTGGATAGCCATAGCATGGTCCAGAGCTTGGATGGCCATAGCATGGTCCAGAGCTTGGATGGCCATAGCATGGTCCAGAGCTTGGATGGCCATAGCATGGTCCAGAGCTTGGATGGCCATAGCATGGTCCAGAGCTTGGATGGCCATAGCATGGTCCAGAGCTTGGATGGCCATAGCATGGTCCAGAGCTTGGATGGCCATAGCATGGTCCAGAGCAGGTGTCTGGGGACAACACGGATTGGATAAAGGAAGTGCAATCTACTTCGTAAGCAGCTGCTTCCTTTGCTGTTCCAGAAGGGCCTCCAGGTGATCTGCTCGCTTCTCGGCCGCCTGTAGAAAAGAATTGTCACAAATGATGATAAGAACGTGCTGCGGTCACGTCTGTAAAACGGGGAAATGCATGGATTCATTCTGCTTCACACAAATTACTAAAATGTATATTGCATATAAAAATAAACTGCCAGGAAAGTTCTTATTTCCTGAATTGTCTGTCTAGTTCTCCTCTGTGGGATCGTTCACAATGCTCCCACAATACTTAGTACATATCATGTGCTGTGCATTTCAAAAGGTCACTGACCAATATATGAATATAAGTTTCCACATTTCAGTCATTTTAAAAAGTTTACCTTGTCTTGTGTGTAAAATCAGTCAGTGTCTATCTGCAGCGGCACACGTTCTCTTGTAGCTTTCTATAAGAGAGCTCACACATTCTCAGGTAACTTCATTTATAAAAACCATGAATGTAGCTAGCCACAAGCTTGTGGATTCTATTGCTTTATTCTTGTGTTTTGCAAATGAAGTTAGCTGTAGCACTGCACAGTTTTTCTGTAAAAAGCTTGTACGGGCTCGTAACATGTATTTCAAATATTAATGAACCTCTCCTATTGTAGATTAAATAGCAAAAAGTCGTTTCACTGCTTGAACCAGGAATAGGAGATAAATGGTATTAAAGGAATAAATCCACTTAGTAAAGTCAAAACAAGAACAAAAAGGGGTATACTCACTAAACAAATTAATATTTAAAATGCAAACATGTTATATCAAATCTTAAATAAGACTAGATGATAAACAAAAAGGAAAGGGGTAAAATATTTTGCAATATAATATGTAACGAGCCCACAATATATTAGCGTTGCTAAAAATAATATCAGGAAGTATTACTTTACTGAGAGGGTAGTGGATGCATGGAATAGCCTTCCAGCTGAAGTGGTAGAGATTAACACAGTGAGGGAGTTTAAGCATGCGTGGGATAGACATAAGGCTATCCTAGACTTAAGATAAGCAAAAGTATTTAGAAAATTGGGCAGACTAACGGGGGGTGAATGGTTCTTATATGCCGTAACATTCTATGTTTCTAAGTCTGTGGACTGACAATTAAAGCTGAGTTGTTGTGGATTCCTGATTTGTATATTTGCTAAACGCTCTAGATTAGGAGCTTTCTTTCATGGCCATCTGAGTTTTTATACGGGGGATTAAGCAGTGTTAGTAAGTAGTAGCCTTACATACCCATAACAAGGTAACAAGGATCACGATCAGTTGGAATTTAGTGATCAGCCACATGTGTTTCTGTGGGTGTGTATCAAAATCTAGGCCATAAGTGTTCACTAAGGATTGCATCCTGGAGAAGGAACGTGGCCAGATCTGTGAGAATGGGCCAGGCTACTGACAGGAGAACAAAGCAGCTGCATTGTGTGCCTGTCTTTCAGAAGTGGTTAGGTCACAGTAAAGCATGTTTTACACCCGAACAGTACGTGGAATTCTCACCTCACGCTGCTTCCTCAGGCTATTCATGGTTTCTTCTTTCTTCACAAGTGCTGTCTTCACCCTAAACAGAGACACAGACACAATGCACAGCGATGACGCAATAGCTTATTGACCTCTTCTAACAGGCGCCTTTACATTCCAAATAAATTCATTTGTTAATAATGAATCAAAAGTGATTTTCTGAAGAATTGACAATGGAGTTCATTGAAAAACTGCGGCAATCCCAGCCTAACTGTGACTACAGCAGAGTTGGATAATGTTTACAAATCCGCCATATTAGCTTGAATTTTGCAATTTGGAACTCAGTAAATAACGCTGAGAGTTGCCGTGATATATTGTAACGCTGAAAGAAGTCTTGTATTAAAGGTAAATTTTGATTGGTCGGTTGGTGCTTCAGCCAATCAGAATACAGCTGAATTTTTTATGATCACAGATCTTTGACAAAATTAAATCAATAGCAGCCCTCACAGTGTGCTGTAAAATGCACAATCCATAGGGTTTTATAAAAAAATAATAAGTTACTTATGCATTTTTTGCATAAATTCTTAGAAACCTCTCCGACGTTACATGCTGTCCTGAGAATAGTGGACTTTAATGCTATTAGGAAGACAATGTGTAAATATGGTTGAATCCTGTTTGCACCGTGGTGGCAGACACAGGTATCATTCCAGATTTAATGGCCCCAAACTGACAGATGAGCCGTGTGCAGCCCTTTAAATGAACCTGGCTGGATGATCGCATTAAGCTAAATCCTAGAGAGTTTTTTTCTTTAGTTGTTAATTCAAGTTTTCTTTTGGTTCAGAAGTTGGACAATTGCCTCATTAAGTGGTTGAAAGGCGCTCAGTTATAGGATAGAGAGGTGTGAATTTCTACATTTTATTTTTCACATATAAATATTTGTTAATTATACGGGATCAGTAAACATAAAGATAACAATTCTGATTGTCATTGGTCCTTATTTATGTTAATGTACAGTTATGCTCAAAAATTTGCATACCCGGTCAGAAATTGTGAAATTTTGGCATTGATTTTGAAAATATGGCTGATCATGCAAAATATGTCTTTTCCCACCCCTGTGGCTTTTTAAATTGCAATTAGTGTCTGTGTATAAATAGTCAATGAGTTTGTTAGCTCTCGCATGGATGCACTAAGCAGGCTAGATACTGAGCCATGGGGAGCAGAAAACAACTGTCAAAGGACCTGCGTAACAAGGTAATAGAACTTAATAAAGATGGAAAATGATATAAAAAAACATCCAAAGCCTTGAAAATGCCAGTCAGTACTGTCCATTGACTTATTAAGAAGTGGAAAATTCAGGGATTTCTTGATACCAAGCCAAGGTCAGGTAGACCAAGAAAGATTTCAGCCACAACTTCCAGAAGAATTGTTCGGGATACAAATAAAAACCCCACAGGTAAGAAATACAGGCTGCTGCGGAAAAAGATGGTGTGGTTGTTCCAAGGAGCACAATACGACGATACTTGAACAAAAATGAGCTGAATGGTCGAGTTGCCAGAAAGAAGCCTTTACTGCGCCAATACCACAAAAAAGCCCGGTTACAATATGTCCAACACCCTGACACTCCTCACAGCTTCTGGCACACTGTAATTTAGAGTGATGAGACCAAAATAGAGCCTTATGGTCACAACCATAAGCACTATGTATGAAGAGGGGCCAACAAGGCCTATAGTGAAAAAAATACCATAACCACTGTGAATCGTTGCTGTGGCTCATTAATGTTTTGGGTTTTGTGAGCTCTAAAGGCACAGGGAATCTTGTGAAAATGGATGGATGGCAAGATGAATGCAGCATGTTATCAGAAAATACAGGCAGACAATTTGTATTCTTCTGCACAAAGGCTGTGCTTGGGACGCTCTTGGACTTTCCAGCATGACAATGACCCTAAACACAAGGCCAAGTTGACGCACCAGTGGTTACAGCAGAAAAAGGTGAAGGTTCTGGAGTGGCCATCACAGTCTCCTGACCTTAATATCATCGAGCCACTCTGGGGAGAACTCAAACATGCGGTTAATGCAAGACGACCAAAGACTCTGCATGACCTGGAGGCATTTTGCCAAGATAAATGGGCAGCTATACCACCTGCAAAACCTAGGGGCACCATACACAACTATTAGAAAAGTCTGCAACCGCGGTCATTGATGTTAAAGTGGTCAATACATAGTATTAAGGACTAAGGGTATGCAGACTTTTAAACAGCGGTCATTGCATTTTTTTCTTTGTTGCCATGTTTTGTTGTATGATTGTGCCATTCTGTTATAACCTACAGCTGAATATGAGTCCCATAAAAAATAACATAAAATGTGTTTTGCCTGCTCACTCATGTTTTCTTTAAAAGGGTACATATATTACCAATTCTCCAAGGGTGTGCAAACTTCTGAGCACTGTATAACTGTATTATAATTTACAGCATATCAAAACCTATTCTTTCATGATAATGCTTTTATCCAATCATAAAAACCCAAAAGTGGAACATCATGTGTATGGTCTATAAGCTGCGTGCATCATTTTTATTAATGCGTCTTTGTATACTCTCCATGGCAGCGTGTGTGTATACTCTCTGTGGCAGCGTGTGTGTATACTCTCCGTGGCAGCGTGTGTGTATACTCTCCGTGGCAGCGTGTGTGTATACTCTCCGTGGCAGCGTGTTTGTATACTCTGTTTGTACTCCAGTAAAACATTAAATAAATTCACCTTTGCCATCATTTCTAAGAAAGTACACAAACAGTACTCACCTCTTGTGAACCTCCTCCAGTTCCTCCTCCTTATCCCGATTGATTCTCTCCAGCTCCAGACGATGCCTTGCTTGGGATTCAGACGATTCTATTTTTAAGCGTCTGTTCTCTTCCTCGATTAATACGAGGCGGTCTGCGAATTCCTGTCGAATTACATCGGAGAGACTTTTCCTCTCCTCGGTCAGCCGGTCTGTGATCTGAGAAAGGCGAAATAACGGTTTCAATTTAAGGTGACGGATATCCTGCTTTAATAACCTTGCCTTCGTTACGGTTTGCAGAGATGGCCCTCACCTTCCTAATATCCTCCACCTCCTGCTCCCTCTGTTTGAGAAGTCCCTGCAGTCGGATCTGTTCTCCCTCCAGCTCTGTCGCTCGCTCTTTGAGTTGATTGCACCTCTCCTGGAGCTTTCTCTCGGACCTCTCCAACTCCTGAAGCTCAGACTCATATTTATCTCTCACCCTCTTAATCCTGAAAAGTAAGTTAAGCAGAGACTTAGATTAATTAATTATTCTCCAAGGGGATAGCCCTTAAATTATAAAAGGAAAACAAAACAAAACATAAATCACAAAATATCATTTACTTCCAAACTGAAGTTTGACTCATAAAAGAATGCAATAAACAAATAAAGCAACTGTCAATCTTATAGTGCAAGTGTCACTCCAATCTGACTTTACACAGAATACAATTTAAACCAAACATTAGGATTGCCAGACTCATAGTAATCATATGAGAAATCTTATTTCAATATACTATTTTATTACGTACATTGCAATCGTGAGCAAATGTAGTGTACACAGCCACATCCCAGAATTCCTGGTGTGCTTGTGCACTGTGCGAGTTATGGGATGGTTTACATCTTGTGGCGTGTGCCGACATCATCCTGCCATTCTTTTTGTCAGGTTACAGGAGGGGAAGTGATCGACAGGTAAATATTTGATCCGTTAATCTACATGTGGATTAACTTTAATGAGACACTTGTAGCAACAGAAATACAGCTCAATTATTATTATAGCTCAGTCATGTCATTATGTTGCCAGTAAGCTCTAAGCGCAGTCCACTGGTAGGAAGTAGTTTGAGAAAAAATTAAAACAAGGCTCTCCCCGAGTACCGATCCTTCTACCTATCTAGTCATACTAATAATACAGATTATACCCGAGCACATTATCGCTATAGATAAACACGCAGAGCACAGATTGGTTGAGAAAGCTGGGGGAAGGGAGTATCTTGGCCTGTTAATTTTATGCATGTCCCCATTTAATGTTGTCTATCCGTCACTGATGGCTAAAATCACTGCCGGCTATTGCCACAGATTCACAAGAACATCCCGATGCCGTCATGTCTCACAGGAATTTTCCTGCTCCGTATTCACACCCAGAAAATAGAATTGTGATGCAGGCAGTCATACAACCTTTGAAAGTCCACCGTAAAGTGCCGGTAAGTTGAACTAGTTCCCTGCAGGTTGTGTCTCATGTGTGGTTTTAGCAGATATGGTAAAAAACAATATCTGTCCTGACCTATGCACCACAAACAGAACCAAACACAGCGAGATACTATAATTCTCAGGAAGTTTGACTCAGATCTCGAAAAACAAACCAGCGCATTATTTTTCTAGTAAAAGTGTAAACTAAACTGCTGTCAATTAACCATCAAGATAAAAATCTAGTTATAAACTGGCAGCGTTGGCGAGATTCCAACCTCTAATATGGATGTCATGCAGAGAACAGAAACTGGAAGATATGTACTCGTATGCAGAGAAAATGTTGTTTAAACAGCCTGACCAGGAGACATGTAATTCAGGAAATGCCATCGCCCATCGTGAACTAGAACACTGAGGCATACACTGAACAGCTACAACATCATAAATCTACCTGCCTAATATCATGTAGGTGCTATCAAAACAGCTCTGATACATTTAGCCATGGACTCCACAAGACCTCTGAACGTGTCCTGTTGGATCTCGCTCCAAGACATTACCAGCAGATCCTTTAAGTCCTGCAAGGTGGTACCTCCATGGATCGGATTTGCTGTTCCAGCACATCACATAGATGCTCAATTGGATGGAGATCTGCGGAATTTGGAGGCCACGGCAGCTCCTTGAAATCTTTGTCATGTTCTTCAAACCATTTCTGAACAATGTTTGCAGTGTGGCAGGAGGCCACTGCCATCAGGAATCACTACTGTCGTGAAGGGATGTGCGTGCAACAATCTCTAGGTAGGTGGTCAAAGTTACACGTGTTAAAGTAACATCCACATGAATGCCAGGACCCAAGGTTTCCCAGCAGAACATTGCCCATATGTATCAGTGAACCTTGGGTGCCAAATGACCCTGACTCTAATTCATCAGTTGTCCTTCCATGCATAACTTTTGGTAGGTACTAACCACTGCATATCGGGAACATTTTACTTGCTGTTTTGGAGATGCTCTGACCCAGTGCTCTGCCTACGCAGGCCTGCCTTTTTCCCCATAGTGCATCCTACTGCCATCTCTTACTGAGGTAAACAATGCACACAAACCCGGCCATCCACTTAATCTAAAAGAAAACTTAATTTAATTTATCAGGCTAGGCAACTGTCTTCCATAGCTCCATGGTCCAGTTCTGATGCTCACGTGGCTACTAAAAAAGACTGGACATACCCCATTTGCAATACCTTGGGTTGTCTACTATTGCAAATGCTATGCCATCATAGGGGGTTTTTCTTATTCCTGGGCTTCCATATGGTCTAAAAGGCAACGTAACCAATCTGGCGAATTTCAATGTGAAAAAAAACTGAAAAATGTAACATACTATATTTGACCCTGTAACTTCCCAAAACACCATAAAACCTGTACATAGGGGGTACTGTTTTACACGCGAGACATCGCTGAATACGAATATGTGTATTTTATTGCAGTAAAAGCTTACAGTAAGCTAACATTCACAGTTAAAATGTCACGTAGAACTAAAAATGTTTTAATATTCTTATTTTCTCCCATTTTTTTTATATTTTATTCATATTAAATTATGTTTCATACCTAAATATTTGATGTTAAATAAAAGCCCTGTTTCCCCTGAATAAAATTATATACAATAAGTGTGGGTGCACATAATATGAAAGAGGCGAATTACGCCTGAATAGACATATAGCGCAATTTCAAGTTTTTGTTTACGTTTTGTTTTGATCACAACTTGTACATGTGACTCAGTCCTTAAGGGGTTAATGATGTGGCTGATCAGTGTATACATGCAAACTCCGCAGTCTATATTGTACTCTCTGCATGTTGGATGTTTTTACATATCATAAGACTGGATTAACCCTGTGCTCTGCCCAGGACTGGCTGGAAAATCAAAGCCATTCCTGGTTCATCCGTAAATGATGGAAATTTAGGTATGTGTTTTTGCATAGATTATATTGGAACACGTTAAAAGTCTGGAGTGTTCCTCTGACCCTACTTGCCTAATTTATAAGCACTTCTCTGGTAAGCTTCACACTGCCATTATGGTTGATGTTTAAAGGACCACTATAGTGCCAGGAAAACATACTCGTTTTCCTGGCACTATAGTGCCCTGAGGGTGCCCCCACCCTCAGGGTCCCCCTCCCGCCCGGCTCTGGAAAGGGGAAAGGGGTTTAAACTTACCTTTTTCCAGCTAGGGCGAGAGCTCTCCTCCTCCGATCCTCCTCCGTTCCGCCCCGTCGGCTGAATGCGCACGCGCAAAGAGCTGCGCGCGCATTCAGCCGGTCGCATAGGAAAGCATTTACAATGCTTTCCTATGGACGCTGGCGTGCTCTCACTGTGAAAATCACAGTGAGAAGCACGCAAGCGCCTCTAGTGGCTGTCAATGAGACAGCCACTAGAGGAAATAGGGGAAGGCTTAGCCCATTAATAAACATGTTTATGTTTATTAAAAAATGGGTTAACCCTAGCTGGACCTGGCACCCAGACCACTTCATTAAGCTGAAGTGGTCTGGGTGCCTAGAGTGGTCCTTTAACTATACTATTCTATATTGGTTATAATCAAAGGGTCACACACTCTGAATTACATTCTTCCTGGAAATTTACACCAAATAAATCTTTGTTTGTTAAATATTCTCAGGTTATACATTTCAATGTGTGTGCGTTACAGATTATGGTATGGAAAGAAAACCTCTTTTTTCATATAACTTTTAAATGAAATAGAAAGTAGATCAAATAGAGCAAATATGGAATCAAAATAAACGATTATAAATAGGATGGCGCAAGTGAGAGAAGGATCTTAGTACATGCAGCAACCAACAAAAACAAATCCTGGTAAAACGATTTGAACATAAAATAACTTACAGTAGTGATGGTGCGCAACAACAAAGAGTGCTATAGCAACGAGTGGTGCTTTTACCACTCCAATCTTGTGAGTGTAACACCTAAAGGGCACCTCTGTCTGCTTTATTTTATATATTTATGCTGCACTAGGAGCTCTCTTTCTGTTTTTGTCTCCTTTTTTTTTTTTGACATTCTTTATTTAAGTTTTTCAATATTCAATCACAGCATGTATATCCAATATAAATTAACATGTGGTAACATATAAACTGGTCAGTTATGTGTATTACAGCATCAAGATAGTTTCATCTACTGGATAATAAATTGTATTTGAGTATTTGGCTTCATTATAACAGTGAGCGTTCTTTTGTGTTGTGTTCTGTCGTTAGCCCTGTATGGGGTTAGTCCCCTCTGTGGTCGGGTGCGAATGGAGTTTGTGGTTGCTCCTCAAGATTCGTGCGAGTTTTCGGGTGGGTTGTTTCAACCGCTCTGTATTGTGCTCGTGGGTCAGAGGGGGAGTTGTACAACCCTGCATTGGTATCTGAGCTTCCTCATTTGTAGGTAGGACCCTAATAGAGAGGTTGGCTCAGTGCAAGGTTTCCCCTCACTTACTTATTGGGTCTAGTGTGACCTATGGTACTTAAGAGGTGTGGTAGTCTCCGTCTATGTGTGGTGCAGTTCGTCTTTGTCCCCAGCCTCGTACGTGGTGATTTGTTCGTGTTTCTAGTGCCAGGTTGATGGATATAGAGCTTTGTCCCAATCCGTGTTATGTCTGTCTACGTGTGTCCTTCTTTGGGGGGGTACCGTCTGGGGCTTTGTATGGGGGTCCAGTCTGGTTCGTGTTTGATTTGTGTGTTGGTTTAGGTCGTAATGAGCCTGGGTTTTTGTCTCCTTAATAGGTGTCAGAGTGATTTCCATGTTTGCAAGTATACCTACAGATTGTGTTTTGTTTTACCACAACCACTGTTTGGTTTTAAAGTATTTATAATATTTCCACTCTGTAAACACCTCATTTTATGTACACAGGGTTACTTTCACTCTCTATAAGAGACCATAGTGAATACAATTTTTTAAATTTTTTAATTTATTTTCTTTCTTTGTTGTTGCGCACCATCACTACTGTAAGTTAGAATATGGAATCAGCCACAAAGTGCCCCCATCCATAGACAATGAATTTATATTCTGTGACCTCCTAAAACCATGGATCCTCTTGCCCCCTGGCAGTCTCACCTGTTTTCAGCGGCTCTCTCACACTCTTCCCTGGCCGTTGACATTTCTGACTCTAGGCGCTGGATCACCAGCTCGATATCCTTGTCCCGCCCCTTCCTGACGTCTTCCTTGAGTTCTCGCTCCCGGGAGAGCAGCCAGGCCTCCTGTGAGTGACACAGAGAGACATTAGATCTGTATTACAGCACGGCACTACATCTTATAATCCCAATAGGAAACACACGATTCATTGTCAGTGGTTTTCTGCCTGACTGGAAACCCATTTCTGAAATACATGGAAATAAGAGAAATCTTCTTCCTGGTAAACACGTTGGGGCTTTTACACTAAACTAGAATGGGAACTTCACATTATAGGCCAATGTAGCTTAACTGCAGAATTTCTCCAACTCTATAATTTTGTCCTAAATTTGTAATATATCATCACTTGTATTGCAGTTAAGGGAACTTAACGAGTCACTAACTACCATAACTACTTCATCTTACTCACCCTGTGCCTGCAGCCTTTCTTTTTATTAAAGGGACACTACAGTCACCAGAACAAGTACAGCTTATTGTATTTGTTCTGGTGAGTATAATCATTACCTTCAAACCTTTTGCAGTAAACACTGTTTTAGAAAATGCAGTGTTTACATTACAGCCTAGTGATAACTCCACTGGCCACTCCTCAGATTGCTACTAGAGGTGCTTCCTGGGGCAGTGCTGCACAGTGTGACTGACATTCAGTGTCTCCACCCACTGAATGAAGACACTGAACATTCCTCACAGAGATGCACTGAGGGCTGTGTTTGACTTGTGCTGGCTCTGCCCCTGATCTGCCTCCTTGACAGTCTCAGCCAATCATATGGGGAAGCATTGTAATTGGCTCAGACCACCACTTCTGATGATGTCAGCCAAGCAGGCAGATGAGGGGCAGAGCCAGCAGCAGACTGGAATAAATGTAAAATTGTACTGTATTTAGTGGGTTAAGAAGGGGCTAGATTGTGTTTTTAACACTATAGAGTCAGGAATACATGTTTGTGTACCTGCCAGTGTTCCTCTGCTGGTTTAAACAGCAACCCCTCCTTTCTCTGTGTCTGAGCTATTCAGCTCCTTTCATAACGGTTTCCACAGTTACTTACCTGGTTGTTATTAGCCTGCCCTGTTGCTTATCAGTGAAGCCTATTTAAGCAGCAAGTTCCGGTATCTCCTTGCCCTTGCATGGTTTCCTGTTTCCCAGAAGACTTCCGGTGTATTCATGGTTCCTGACTCTGATGCTCTCCGTTCTCCTGATTGTGGCTCGTCAGGCACCCGCTTTGGTGCCTGACCCCCGCTTGCCTCCTGGACTTTGCTTTTTGTTTATTTTATTTTTGCTATTTTTTGAATAAAGGTGTTTTGCATCTACGTTCTGTCTCTGTCTGGTTCCTGACCCTATAGTGTTCCTTTAAGGTTTTATTGTGGAAATAAATACATTTTACCTCCCTGGGTTGTCAATGAGCTGGAATACTCTTTCTAATTGGCGTTATTGGTTTTGTATCACCTCTGTATCACACAGCATGCTAACCCTAGACGCCTTGGACAGACAGCAAGTGGCCGGGTGACACTGGCTTCTTTCAGTCAATTTAACCCTCTTTTCTACGTTTCTTAATGCCCAGATCAGAGGGGAAACCAGAACACAAGCTTTGAGAATTCCATTCTGATAGGAGTTTTAGTGCTGGGTGGATTTGATAACTACAGAGGGCAGCTTGAAGCTGAAGAAAAGTTAGTTTTTAGGGATTAGAAAAGATTTCTGCATTATTAGTTTATGTAATAATATATATATTTTATTTAATTTGACTTTGATTAAAAAAATGAAGTGGGAAAATAAATCTGGAGAGTTTAATCTGATAACTCAATGTAAAGTGGATTGACCCTGTGACCTGCAGTCTCGTTAATTAGGTTTTATTACTCGGTGCTGAAAAACAAGTTCTTGGTTAACCAATCTGCCGAGGGACAGGATTATACTTATTATTATATTATGTATATAGCGCCATCAGATTCTGTAGCGCTGTACAATGGGATCAATGACTATAGGAAGGAATTCTGAAACTAGAATTCATCTAAAGAAAGCAAACTCTCAGGGTTATTCACTGAAGTGAGAATGGTCCAGAATTGAAAGTGAATTTCAAAATGGCTGAGCTTAAAACCGAGCCAAAACTGAAGAATTTAGCAATTTTGTTCTAGAAACCGTAAATAGCACTGCAAACATTATACCTCTTTCTTCATGTAGTTCTGCTCCCATGCCTGTTTTTCAATCTCCAATCGTTCTTTAAGCGCTTTTATTTCTGCCTAGAATGTTAAAAAAAGGGTTAGAATTGCCTTTGGAAGTTCTCCGATTGGTGGACAAAGTGTATCCATCAACGAATTGAACCTGAATTCCACGGACACGGATACGTCCGCTGATTCTGTTGGCAAAGGGTTGCAGCAATAATGTTGACTATTTACAATTTTTTTACATTTTATACTGCATTATAAAGAAAGCAGGTACTTAAAGGTACAGATAGACGCATGGAAAAATATAACACTTCTTTACGCAATCAAAGCCGGATTCTGATTGGCTGCTTAGATAAAACTTGAATTTTATTAAAGGACACGGAGGCAAGTATTAGGCTTTATTTATGGCTTTCTTTATTCCTCAGCAGCAAAGAAAGGATATTGATATTTGAATATAGCAATAACAAGAAAAAACACAGAATACCCTTAAGGGTTAACCATATAACATTCCAGGTATATTAACCAATGGGATCAGTCCTTGTACTATGTCCCCTCATGTGACCTAAGCCACTCCCTCTTTCTTTGCTGCTGCCTCAGCACCACATATATACTGTATTTCCATACTCTTGTTGTTTAATATTAAAGCGGCACTGTCATGCCGAATCCTGTTTTTTAACCCCCCTCCGGCCTCCACTACATCTAACTAACACCCTAGTCACCCCCAAATGCCCCTAAGCCCCCCACATTACCTACTTTTTAATCTTTATTTTCTGCCCCAATCTTTGTGTGGGTAGGTGAAGTCCCTGTGGGACACGTCATCAGCCCTCACTAGATAGCACTGAGATTCCCGCACATGCCCAGTGAAACACCTGGACATGCGAACGGGAATTTCATCTATTCATTCATCAGACAGACGAATGAGTGAATAGACATATCAGACGAACAAACTAACACAATGCATCAGTGTTCGTTTGTTCGCTCAGTTTATTACAAGGAGGGAGCTACCGGCACGCAGCTACCTCCTTGTAATATGTAAAGATAGAAGCGACAGGGAGCAGTGCTCCCCGCCACTTCATAAGCCCCCCAAGGTCCCCCCCTCACTCTATGGGGGTCAATATGACCCCCATAATAGCACAAGCCTGTGGCTGCTCACTGTAAAAAAAATAAAAAAACAACTATTGGCCCCCACCCCTAAACGACGGGTGGGGGCCCTAAAGTAAAATAAGGGGGGAGACCTAATGTCCCCACCCCTGAGCGGCGGGTGGGGGCCATAGTGAGAATGAGGGGGGCCCCCACCCCTGGGCGGCGGGTGGGGGCCATAATGAGAATGAGGGGGGGACCTGCTGCCCCGCCCCCACCCCTGGGCGGCGGGTGGGGGCCATAAAGATAATGAGGGGGGTTTAAACCCACCAATCAGAGTGTTCTTAGCGTAATTGCAGGGCGGGGCAAGGCTTTATAAGCCTTCCCGGAGCTCAGTCTGCGCGGAGCCCTCCATGGGTGAAGATGGATTATTTTTTTGCGCTCGGGTTTTTTCTTTTTCGTCTGTTTTTTTTTTTTGTGCTCAGGATTTTTATTTTATTTTCAATTCGACGGTTATGATGGTTTTTTTATTTGGCCTTTTTTGGGGCTGAAAAATGAAGATTTGAGAAAAAAGAAGACGTCGAATGGTAAGTTTAATTTTATTTTACAGGTTAGTTATTTTATTCCCCCCTCACTATTTTTTAGGGTGAGGGGGGTAGGTAGGGACTTTTTTTTTGGGTGGGGGGTGGGTGACTAGGGGCTTGGGGACCCCTAGTCACCTTGGTGTGGGGGGGGAATTGACTTAGGGCCCCCACCCGCAGCCCAGGGGTGGGGGCTGGGGGGGGGAGGACAGTAGGTTCCCCCCCATTATCTTCATGGTCCCCACCCGCCACCCAGGGGTGGGGGCTGGGGGGGCAGCAGGTCCCCCCCTCATTCTCACTATGGCCCCCAACCTGCCGCCCAGGGGTGGGGGCCACGGGGGGGGGGAACTAGGTCCCCCCCTCATTCTCACTATGGCCCCCACCCGCCGCCCAGGGGTGGGGGCCACGGGGGGGGCAGTAGGTCCCCCCTCATTCTCACTATGGACCCCACCCGCTGCCCAGGGGTGGGGGCCGGGGGGGCAGTAGGTCCCTCCCCCTCGTTATCATTATGGCCCCCACCCGCCGCCCAGGGGTGGGGCCGGGGGGGTGGACACTAGGTCCCCCTCCTCATTATCGTTATGACCCCCACCCACCGCGCAGGGGTGTGGGCCAGGGGGGGACGACATTAGGTCTCCCCCCTTATTTTACTTTAGGGCCCCCACCCGTCGTTTAGGGGTGGGGGCCAATAGGTTTTTTTTTTTTTACAGTGAGCAGCCACAGGCTGCTCACTGTTTACCAGACATGCCCCTACTCGCGGTATAGCGAGTAGGGGCATATTAATACTAATACTAAGTAATTTTTACTTGGTATTAGTAAAGTTGGCTGAAAGACCAATTTAGGTCTTTCAGCCTTTTAGTAGATAACTCCCTGATACCGTGGGAATTAGGGAGTTATCTAATAAGCAGCTGCAAGATGCAGCCACAGCAAGAATAGGATTGGAGTTTCATTCATTAGAATGAAATTCCGATCCGAATAAAGTACCGAATTGCGTTCTAAAAGAAACTAACATACTGTTCTCATTCAGTTAGAACGCAATTCGGCAGTTTCGTCTAAAATGACAGGAAACATCGCGGGAACACAGAGGGAAGTTTAGAATCATGGGAAAATTGCTCTGACCAGCGGAAATGAAGCACACTTTGCTCCTCCGCTGGTCAGAGCTGGTCAAGCGGAGGAATCCTCCATAAGGCAAAGAGTCCCTACTTTGTCTTATGATTTTAAAGAAAACTAAAGAAGACAGGAAGAAAAGAATAACAGATCCTGAGAGAGGGGGAGAAGATGAAGAGATTGAGGAAAGGTAAGTTCGGCATGACAGTGCCGCTTTAACCCACCCCTTTGTGTCTCTTGCTCCTCCTTTGTATCTATTATTCCCCTCATATCTCATATTACCCTTTTTTAGTAGATAACAGACAGACCAGCACTCTTTAAAACTTTCAAGAGTTTAAGAGGGTTCCGTGGGCTTCCAGTTTCATCCAATGACCAGCCAAGGATCCAAATAAAAACAAATGGCCCAGCACTAATCAGTGTTTTTAGGTTTCCATTATTGTGCACTTACAGGAGCAATGATTCCACCCAGTGATAGAGTCTTTATCACACCAAAAATTGATATTAAAGAAACACTATAGTCACCTAAATTACTTTAGCTAAATAAAGCAGTTTTAGTGTATAGTTCATTCCCCTGCAATTTCACTGCTCAATTCACTGTTATTTAGGAGTTAAATCACTTTGTTTCTGTTTATGCAGCCCTAGCCACACCTCCCCTGGCTAGGACTGACAGAGCCTGCATGAAAAAAAAAAAACTGGTTTCACTTTCAAACAGATGTTATTTACCTTAAATAATTGTATCTCAATCTCTAAATTGAACTTTAATCACATACAGGAGGCTCTCGCAGGGTCTAACAAGCTATTAACATAGCAGGGGATAAGAAAATCTTAATTAAGCAGAACTTGCAATAAAGAAAGCCTAAATAGGGCTCTCTTTACAGGAAGTGTTTATGGAAGACTGTGCAAGTCACATGCAGGGAGGTGTGACTAGGGTTCATAAACAAAGGAATTTAACTCCTAAATGGCAGAGGATTGAGCAGTGAGGCTGCAGGGGCATGTTCTATACACCAAAACTGCTTCATTAAGCTAAAGTTGTTCAGGTGACTATAGTGTCCCTTTAAACATGGTGCAATTAAATAGCAGTGCAAATCAATCACGTGATAGGAAGTTCATATTACCGCAAAGAAATAGCCATAGCTTAATGATACAATACAATACAATAATTAAAGTGACGGTGTATATATTTATATACAGGTTTTTATATATTTATATATATATATATATATATATATATATATATATATACACACATACACTGTTTACACGGTATACACTATATATGAGCATACATAAAGCAACAGTGCATTGTGAACTAAATGTACTGTTGCTTTATGTATGCTTTGTAACTTTAATATATATTTCCTGGCTAATCATGGCAGCATATACACATGGGTTAGCTCCTCCCCTACAGCCGATAGGACAGGAAAACCACCAAGGTTTTAAAAGGAGGCTCCATCCCTAAGGTCCTCAGTCTTTTTCCTGTCCTACAGCCCTTAGGACGTGAGCAATTTGCTCCCTTTACTTACGGACATGTATGTTTTATTTTCATTAATTTATTTGCTGTTTTATTGTAGTACATTATGCAGTTGTGCTTTTTATGCTGTGATGCATTTAAGCTTTGATATCTTCAACCCCTTAAGGACCAAACTTCTGTAATAAAAGGGAATCATGACATGTCACACATGTCATGTGTCCTTAGGGGGTTAAACGAGTGCATTGTACAGCTGTACCTTATTTTTTAAGATTGTGGTACATTATGCGGTTGTGCTTTTGCTAGGAAGCATTTAAGCTGTGTGACATTTAAAACTGTTTCATTTAAATTTGCATTTAATACTGTTGCATGTAATACCGCAAGTCATTGGAAACCGCAGTACATTTGGAAAACTGCAGTGCATTTGAAGACTGATATATTTTAAAAACTGTGTTACATTTTGGAAACTGTTAGATTTGAAAACTGTTACCTTTTATACCTTGAGGCCTTTAGACTGTGGTGCCTTTAAACTTTGACTGTTTGCACTTGGTTGCCTTTTAAACTTCCTTGCAGGCACTTTTGTTATCTATTTTGCTTCCCCCTCGGTCCCGGTGATTTATTCCTGGTTCCCTGGGTGTTTAGGGGCCATGCAGGCTTCAGACAGAGTCCTCTCCCTGGTCTCTAAACAGCAAACACACTCGGAATAGGCCCACATGTGTGCAGTTTGTGCCTTATTGGGCCTAATACAGATGACTTGCATTGTGAGAATACAAGTTGTGGCAGCCATTTTGGATAAGGGCAATTGCCAGAAAGTGCCTAAAATAAAGGGACAATTACAGTAAACATACCACACTTATTTGGTAAGTATTTGCAGGGTCTCGAGACATGGATAAGTGCTGTCTTTAGCCTGTTTTAAAGCGGTTTCGCTGGTTTCTTATAGAATTTAACAGTGCACATTTTTTCTTAATACTTTACCACAGGTAATATTTAGTTATTATTATTTGTCAGGTGTCTGATTCTTCACCAGGATCTGGTTACGAGGATAAAACAGTGGAAGGAATCAGTTATGCACGGACTTCCTCCAGAAGGTTGTCGCTTCAACATGACCTATCACTGTGCAGCCACATGACATGCGGGCAGGGATTACAAAGTAAGTTCCAGAGGCCTTAGGGGTAAGAAAAGAGGCCAGGCTTTAACCTGTGGAGGAAGTTATTTCCAACCCCAGAACTACACCACCTAAGTTGCACACTTATGGATCATAGGTGGACGCAGACCTGTCCAAAACTTTACGCCTACCATTGCAGGAGGCCAGCCAGCTGTGATTTCCGCTGCTGTTTCTACAAACATGAAATATGTGATTAAAGATCTAAAGGCTACTATGGAGCGAGATATTAAAAACCAAGATTGAAGAGGCAGTCTGAAGTCTTCAGGTTACAACTGACTTCTTCACAGAAACTTCCCTAGATGTAACTAGGATATCCTTTGGATCAAATGGCTTTATCTATAGCAGCTAAGAAAGCATTATGGTTCTGTTTCTGGGATGATGACTCATCCTCCAAGTCTGCCCTCTACACCATTCTATTTGAAGGGGTGGTGCTGTTTGGGAAAACTTTGGATAATTCCATTGAAAAGGCGAATGAGGGCTGCAAGATATTGGTACCTTAGGATGGAAGTTCCAAGGATCCCAGCTCCTCATAGTCTGACCGGAGAACCTCCAGTGACCTGTATTTCTGAGATACAGGGAGCTACTGGCCCTACAGGGAATACTCTAGAGGTAACTCATGGCAGTTGGTAAACCTGCCTTTCAAGGTTCTAATGGAGCTAGAACGCAGTTGTTTTGCTCTTCAGCAATGAAAATATCTCCTCCAGTACTAGGAGCCTCATTTTTCTGATCACACATACCTGGGCTCGTCATACTCTGGAGGCTTGAGTGGTATCCATGGTCCAGATTGATATAGACTGGAGTTTTTTCTTAACGGGCACAGGAGTCTCCATACCAACAGTATTAAGACCAATGAATACAAAGGTAAAGCACTGAAGGAAGAAGCCTTCTGGACGAAGAGGTGATTTTTTTTTTTTTTTTTTAGGTCCCAGAACAAGAGCAGTTCCAGGGACAAGTTTCGTCTCTCTTCTGGTGCTAAGAGGAAAAGCACATGAAAGCCTACACTGGACCTAAGTGGGCCAACAAGAGGCTGAATGTTAGAGTCTTTGGGATGGAGTCAATCGGATCCATATCTCAAGCAATCTGGAAGGATAATTTCCTTACCTCTATATATCTCAAGGATGCTTACTTTCAGTCCAATCTGCAGAGATCTTCTGCATTAGCTCAGAAGAGAACTTCCATGTTAGTGCCCTTCCATTTGGCCTCAATGCGGCCCCAAGAATCTTTCTATGTGCTTATAATGTTATTGAGAGTCCAGAACTCCACCTGGTTCCATTATCTGGAGGATCTACTTCTGATAGCCTTAGACCCTCAGAAGGCAGGCACACATAGGTATAGAGTTCTTTCATAACTCCTAAAGTTTGGCTGCTTGATGAATATCAAGAAAAGCAGTTTCAGACCAGCTCAGTGGATGATATCCATGAATGGAAAATTCTAGGCTCTGCTTTTCCATATCTCGGGAACAGTTCCACAGATTGTAAAGGTTTTCTCTCCCAGTTTCTTCATTTCTACCTGGTAACAGCAAGAAAATAGGTGCAACTACTAGGAATCCTGGCTTCCATCAGCAGACTTGTCAGATGGGCCCAATGGCATCTCTGGATTCCTTACAGATCCTTCCTATCTTGGTCTAACAAGAGAAAGATTATTGGAGCCAGCCACTTACTATGTCCCCATCAGTGGAGTTGCACCTTACCCTGGCAGCTGAAAGAGGGATTAGATCTCTGAGTTTCCAGTGAACAGAACCTCATTGGTCAATTATTAGCTCGAATTCCAGTTTTTATAAGTTTGGTTGCACAGTGTTTGGACCATGTTGCACAATATTTCCATTCATTTGTATGGAATTAAGAGTCATTTTCAAGGCTCTTCTTCACTTCAGAGGCTTGCTGAAGAACGAGTGGGTCCAAATTTGCTCAAATATCAATGCAATTATATCCTATATCTACCAAGATGGGTCTCACAGATATGTATTGATGGAATTCCAGCCCATAATGATCAGGGCACAGAAGAACAACCAGTGGCTCAGAATACCATGGCTGTTTGCTGGAGCCGAATAACTGTGGACAAGGTGGATTGGCAACCATGTCCTGACGTATCGTCGTGGTTGACGCAGATTGTCTGATACCCTGCATAGATCCGATGGCCATTTCTTGGAACTACCAGGTCCAGAAGTATCTTTTACATGCTAGGACCAGAATGCTCAGGTTCAGGATACACTGGCTCAAATTTAGAATTTTAGTCTGATGTACATATTTTCCTGTTTTCGACCTTCTTAAAAAGGCAATGCAAAAGGTGACAGTGGAAGACCGTGTCGACTCTAATTCTTATGATGAATAAGATTATTCTGGAACCTCCAAGGGAAATTCCTGTACGTCCAGACCTATTACAAGGCCCCATGACACACCAGGATCCTCAAGTTCTGGTGTTGATGCGGGAGTCCATATTAGTATAGGCATCCCTGAGACAGTCATTGAGATCCTCTTACAATCCTATACAGGCTTTACTAATCTTGACATGCTTTTGTCTGTTGGAATTACTCCTCGTTCAGGCCTTGAAAGGTTCTGTGTTATAACACTCTAGAGGAACACTTAGCTGCACTTTGATTCATATAGGCATTGATTGAAATCATGCCTCCACTGAGTGTTGTGAAGCCAATATGTGACGTACCAATGGTCACACGGGCCCTGACTGAACCATTATTTGAACCTCTAGTAGGAGCTTCCATGGTGGTAGCACAGAAAGTGCTGGTGGCTGGTACCCCAGCAAGAAAAATGGGTGAACTCCAGGCTTGATCCTGTGAACCCCCTTTCACTACTTTTCAACGGATATGGTCGTCTTGCATTTGGCACCTGAAGATGGTGAATGCTTATCTGTCATTCTCTACCTGTACTGAAGGGTACCGATTGAGCGTTGATGCCCCTGGTGCTTTGCTTCATGTAAGCAACAATTGAACTCAAGCCTCCGCTGAGGGTGTTGAAACCAATATGTGATGTACCACTGGTCTCACAGACTCTGACTGAACTTCTAGCAGGAGCTTCCATGATGTTAGTCCAGACGTTGCTGTTGCTGGTGACTGGTACCTCAGCAGGGTGAATGTGTGCACTTGCTGCACTTTGCTTCATATAGGCATTGATTGAAATCATGCCTCCACTGAGTGTGGTGAAGCCAATATGTGACGTACCACTGGTCTCACGGGCCCTGACTGAACCATTATTCGAACCTCTAGAAGGAGCTTCCATGGTGGTAGCACAGAAAGTGCTGGTGGCTGGTACCCCAGCAAGGGAAATGGGTGAACTCCAGGCTTGATCCTGTGTACCCCCATTCACTGAATTTCAACAGGATATGGTTGTCTTGCATGTAGCACCAGTGATCGTGCCTAAAGTGAGAGCCTTTTAATGCCGTTCTCTACCTGTAGCAAAGGATTTGGGGAATTCTCCACTAGTGCTGTTACAGCATCTCGTGGGCGTCCATGGCAATGGTCTCTGCTGAAACTTTGTAAAGTTGGCATTTGAACTAGTTTGTCCCGCATTACATATTGAACATTGAAGCAATTAATGAGGCACAATTTGGATGTCACGTCCGTTCTCTACCTGTGCTAGAGGGTATCAGGGCACTCTCCTCTCATGCTGTTGCAGCATCATGGGTTGCCATGGCAATGGCTTCTGCTGACACTTTTTGTAAGCTAGCATTTGAACCTCTTTTAGACACGTTTGTCTGGCATTTCATACTGTTCGTTAAAACAGTCTATGATGCACGATTTGGTACTCAAGTACTTAACTCAGTTCATTCTTCTATCTATGTTAAATTATTCTGATAATTTGATTGGCTATTCTGTCCCTCCCTTTGTAAGCTTGGGTATTCCCCATGTGTATATGCTGTCATGATTAGCCAGGAAAGTGGAAAATTTATTCATACTTACCGTAATTTTCTTTTCCTGGCTATTATTCATGGCAGCATATACTTCCCACCCATTAATGTCTCTATTTATGTACTGTAGAGCTTGTAAACTGACTGAGGACCTTAGGGATGGAGCCTCCTTTTAAAACCTTGGTGGTTTTCCTGTCCTATCGGCTGTAGGGGAGGAGCTAACCCATGTGTATATGCTGCCATGAATAATAGCCAGGAAAAGAAAATTACGGTAAGTATGAATAAATTTTCCACTATATATATATATATATTAAAGTTACAAAGCATACATAAAGCAACAGTACATTTAGTTCATGATTTAATTTCAATAGGGATCTACAAAGTGTATTGCTTACAATAAAGATTAGAATATAAAATAATAAAATGTTTTCGTTAAACATTCAGACCCCTAAAGCACTTTAGCTTACTAAAAAACTTTATTTGTGAAGTTAGACTTAACCCATGAAAAATGTATAATTAACTGCTGGTAAATTTCCATGTGGCGTATATCTACTAAATTGTAATTTTAATTTATTTTGAGTAGTGGAGTGTCACTTTTAAAACAATTTAGTAATTCTTACTACAACACATCATATATATATATATATATATATATATATATATATACACACAGGTTCTAGGGTAAAGCTGAATAAATCCTACATACCTAACAATATCCAGAGATAGCATCAATTTAAGGGGTGGAACAATCTTACATACAAGAGGAAGAGAAGTATAACCATAACAGTATTCTATTTAAAGACTAATATGGACTATATAAGGACTATTGAAAGAAACTGCTTAAATAAGGCAATCCGATGTTCATGGAATTCCTCATAATCTGGAAAAGGAAAATAATAGAATTTGATTTATTTATATAAAGGGGGATAGCTCAAAGTCTCTATTCATCACTGCTGGCATATTGCCCCCACTTCTTAGTTCAGGGATTTTCTCTATAATCTAAAAACATAATAGTGCAATACTGTGGCTTCCTAAAATGACTCAGTTACTATGTTATTCAATACATTATTCAACAAAGAATGACATTTCTCTTTTCAACTTCTAAAATGCCTCTCCAACTAAACCGCATGCATTCTGTACACCTCCCTCTAATCAGACCCATACATAGCCTCAGAGCCAAAGATCAAAAAGGCTTTTTAATATCTTACTGAACCTGTTGCTTATAAAATGATCATCTAAAAAAATAAACATCTCATGGTAATGCTTTGTTAAATATATTTTGACAGTATTTTTATGTTGTCAACCATGAAGTTTTAAAAAAATAGAAGTGGAAATGAATAGCACACATGCTTACTGTAATATAGGGAGTGGGTAATGACAATCTCAATGTAGTTGTTGATTATACTAGGGGGAAATGTTTAATACAATGTAATAATGGATTAACATTGCAGAGAGTAGCACCAACTAAAGTTCTTAATTATTTCCAGTCAAAATAAAAAAAAAATGTTTTGTTCCAGAATAGAAACATAGAACGTAATGGAAGATAAGAACCATTCAGCCCATCTAGTCTGCCAAATTTTCTAAATACTGTCATTAGTCCCTGGCGTCAGGATAGCCTTATGCCTATCTCATGCATGCTTAAACTCCTTTACTGTATTAACCTCTACCACTTCAGTTGGAAGGCTATTCTATGCATCAAATACCCTCTCGGTAAAGTAATACTTCCTGATATTACTTTTAAACTTGTGTCCCTCTAATTAAAGACTATGTCCTCTTGTTGTGGTAGTTTTCTTCTTTTAAATATAGTTTCCTCCTTTACTGTGTTCATTTCCTTTATGTATTTAAATGTTTCTATAATATCCCCCCATTTCATCTTTCCTCCAAGCTATACATCTTAATTTCCTTTAACCTTTCCTTGTAAGTTTTATCCTGCAATCCATGAAGCCCTTCTCTGAACTCTCTCTAAAGAATCAATATCCTTCTGGAGATACGGTCTCCAGTGCTGCATACAATACTCCGAATGAGGTCTCACCAGTGTTCTGTACAATGGCATGAGCACTTCCCTCTTTCTACTGCTAATACCTCTCCCTATACAACCAAGCATTCTTCTAGCATTTCCTGCTGCTCTATTACATTGTCTGCCTAAATTATCAGAAATAATCTCTTTCCTTGGATGTTGAGGTTAGGACTCTATTACATATTCTGTACTCTGTCCTTGGGTGTTTACATCCAAGATGCATTATCTTGCACTTATCCATGTTAAATGTCAGTTGTCAGAACTCCGACCATTTTTCTAGTTTACCCAAATCATTTGGCTTATCTCTCCTGGAACATCAACCCTGTTACATATCTTCGTATCATCAGAAAAATGACATGCCTTATCAAGATCTTCTGCAATATCACAAATAAAAATATTAAAGATAATGGGTCCAAGTACAGATCCCTGAGGTACCCAACTGGTGACACGCCCATGTTTCGAATATACTCCATTGACTACAAGACTTTGTTGCCTGTCACTCAGCCACTGCCTTACCCATTCAACAATATTGGAATCCAAACTTAAAGATTGCAGCTTATTGATAAGCCTTCTATGTGCAACAGTGTCAAAAGCTTCACTGAAATCTAGGTAAGCAATGTCTACTGCACCCACCCTGATCTATGATATTAGTTACCCAATCAAAAAAATCAATAAGATTAGTTTGGCATGATCTCCCTGAAGTAAACCCATCTTGTCTCTGATTTAGAAATCCATGTGATTTTAGATGTTCAACAATCCTATCCTTTAACATGGTTTCCATTACTTTTCCCACTACTGAAGTAAGGCTTAATGGCCTGTAGTTGCCCAACTCCTCCCTACTACCTTTCTTGTGAATAGGCACAACATTCGCCAACTTCCAATCTTCTGGGACTACTTCTGTTAACAATGATTGGTTAAATAAATCTGTTAATAGTTTTGCTAGTACACCACTAAGTTCTTTTAATAACTTTGATTGCATTCCATCAGGTCCAACTGACTTATTTGTCTTTACTTTTGACAGTTGAAATAGAACCTCTTCCTCTGTAAGCTACCATGTAGCAAATTACTAATTTGTCCTTTTTCCTTTTCCCCTTCTTTCATTTTCATCTGTAAATACAGAACAAAAATATTAATTGATGCAGTCAGCTAGACCTTTATCCTCCACTACATACCTTCCTACTTTTGTTTTTAATCTAACTAATCCTTGTTTTACTTTCCTTTTCTCATTTATGTATGTAAAAAAAAGTTGTCTCCTTGTTTTACTGACTGTGCTATTTTCTTTTCTCTGTGTGATTTGGAAGCTCTTATAACTTGCTAAGTCCCTTTTTTGCATAATCTTATAGATCTGTCTATCTTCCTCACTTGTTTTTTTTTTTTTTTATAATTACTAAATGCTAACTTGTTGTGTTTTACTATTTTGGCCACATCTGTGAAGTACCATAGTGGTTTCTTGAATTTTTTTGCTTTTACTGACAAGTCTAATGCACCACTACACTCAGTGCCTGAGGCGGTCTCCATAATACCACTACAACTGGTGCCTGAGCCTGTCTCCACAACACCATTACACACTGAAAGTGCTGAAAATTAATTATGTGGTGGAGGCCTCCTCAGAAAAACAGACTCAAATCATTCTTCTTAGAATCACAGAGGACATCCCAGCGGAAGAACTCCTGCACTTGATGCAGAGACTTATTGGAGCCCTACTGGCACCCAGGCAAGGCAGAAATATACACATAGAGGCAGTATACCGGGTCCCTAAACCCTGCAGAGTTCCAGCACTGGCTCCTAGAGATCTCATGATGAAGTGCCATACCTATGCTGATAAAGCAGAAGTTCCTGCTGCCCTCAAAGGGATCACACCATATAAGTTTGAAAACATGACCCTTCAATTTTATGCTGACCCGTCAGGGGACACCTTACAATGGAGGAGATCGCTACAACCCTTTATGGCTCTACTCATTAAGAACAACATAGGATATCGGTTGCATATACCTATTATATACCTATTATTCATTTTTATTGTTCTCTCTCAGTATTATATGTAATTGTTTATTTCTATATTACTACTTGCTTATATTTCATATGATATATTATCTCTGTGGCGCCACCTTTCTCTCCTTACTTATACCTATATAATGTTTTGACTTGTGGAACTGCTAACCAAAATATACACTATGTAAAATGTGTAAATGCCCTTGTCTATAGCTATATTATATGTGAATTTATATTTTATTTGATTATGGAAGCAAACTGCAAGAATCCATATTTCTTAACACATTGTATAAGACTGTCCTTGCTCTTTGTGCTCATTTGTTAATGCAAATAATGAAAGCCCACTCACACTTTTTTCACATT